TAATTTTCGCGAAAATTTTTTTCTCATCCAAATCACAGGGGGGGGGGTAAACCCCCCCCTACCCCCCCTTCGCACATTACTGATATATATATATATGCTGAATGCTAAAATATACATGACATTTTTTACTTTGCTCCACAAATGTGACACACAAATCGTCTTCATGAAAATATGGAAATAAAAGCCCGTTGAATTATAAAAGATCATATAAAACATAATGTCAAGTGTTGGTTAATTATTCATGGCGGTTATTTGAAAAAGAAGAAGTACCATACACACATAAAATCAATCCGAATTTGTTCGATTGAAATTTATTCATTTTTTGGGCCATCAAATGTTTTATCCGCATCAAATGATCAGTTTTGTTATTGTTATTTTTTATTTGGAACGAGAATCCGATTCGAACTTCATGCATTAACTATTTGCGGCAACTATGTGTTAACTATATGCATAAATAAATCTAATTTAAATGCTGGCCGTGGAGCTTGGCTATGAGCCTACATTCTCAGTATTTGAATGCAACCAATAAATTTATTTGAAAACTATTGGCTTCGGAACTGTTTCAATCGAGGGAAATGCTTTTGTTTTTTTTTTTTATTAGAAATGTCGTAAAATTCGATACACATCCAATTAGATGAACTTATATATAAAACTTTATAATTGATGGCAACTAATATTTGAAAATCACTAAATAAATCGTTGACGTTGTCGATCAATGGAATTAGAAAACTTTTATAAAAGTAAACTAATGTTAAATAATAATAATTTAACTAAAAAAGCAAGCCGATTGATATATTTTGTTTGAACAATATTGTATAGTAATTGCAGTGTATTTGGCTGATAACTTACCGATTGATAAAACGCCAGCATCGTATTTTCGTAGTGCGGATGTATAGTAAAGTTTGAGACCAGAATTGTCGGCTGCGGGCATTGAGTGCAAACTTTCTAAATCCTTCGGTGGTTCCATGTCACTGTAGTGAGTTTCCATCAAGTAATATCGCGAATCGAGTGCATAACCAACATCCGGTGGAAAGGTGAAACTCTGCGTGTTCAATTGAATCGAGCCAGTATCATTAAAATGTTGTTGTGTAAGATTCGATAAATTTTAATTTTAAATATTTATGATCAAGATAATCAGAATCCATACATAATGTACGTAAAATACAGAAACTTATTAAGTAATCCTAATATCGTATATTGCGTGTTTTTCCCTTTTTTTTCTTTCTTTCTTTTGGTTTTCCACAATATCCGATTAAGGTATTCCATAAATCATGGGCGAAAAGAATGTGTGATAAATGAACTTACCTCTGAGCCTCTTATCCATGCAGCGACAATTGCATTACATGGCAAATTTGGACGGCCATAACAAGAGCGACCCGGTTCATGTGCCATTGCCGCCAACTTATCAGAAGAAGATCCATACGATTGGCATTCGTACAGAATTATATGTTGCAGTATGTTTTTACTGCGCTTTGAGTCGAACACTGGCTCAAACTGATGGCGTAAATGGTATATGGTTGGTGCACAATAAAGCAAGAGACGATGGTGTATTATCGAGTTGTTGTTATGATGTTATTGGGTTGTTTAGCAATAATATCGTAAACAAATGCAGCAACAGCAAAGATGGAACAAAAGCGATACCCCGTTGGACATTCGCCACGACAACAAAAATTGTTTCGTTGGATAAGCATCATTACGAGACATCAGATTTACACGAAACAAAAAAGTTAGCCAACAAACGTCAAAGTACATATTTTTCCGGATAGCAAACCAAGTGAATGGCACCAGCAGATGGAAAGACAACACGAACATACAATGGAGAAAGGGAAGAAAAAAAATTAACGTGAGAGACTGAACACAAAGCTACATAATAAAATGAAAATTATGTTAGTTTAAGTTTTTTTTTCTTTTTTTTTTGTTTATTTGTTTGTCGGTTTTACGTTTCTTTTCTATTTTAAAAGTACTTCCAAAAGCAGAGATAACGTTCCTTCTGTTTGGCGGGGAAATTTTTTATACAAAAACTTATCAACATTAACGCACACACACACACACATATATATTCCAACTCTATCCCTTTCTTTAATATGTACGGGAATTGAACAGGGAGTTTAATGCATTTAAACAAGACATTAGGAAATCTTAACAAAACTTTAAGTTGGCTACGAAAAGATTTGTAAGTAGCTTTATTTCTTCACTCGTTTTTACTTATTTTCCCTTATTTTGTGCATTAGTGTGTGTGTGCCGTGTTTTTCATCGTCCTTTCGTTTTTCTTCTAATTTGAGTTGACAATTTTCTTTCATTAGTTTAATTAAAAGCTTACAAAGGAGACGAAACTCTATGTTGCCTTCGAGCAAAGTTTTCAACATGGGACAATGTTGAAATCGGCTTTCGATCGAACATTCCACTTTTTTTCTCTCTTTTGTTATATGATGTACTCTTGAGACTAAGAACTTGCTGAAGTGCGTAGAGAAAAAAAGCCATTCATTGTTTTCTCGTCTCTTTAAAGAAGCAAGTTATTCACCATTTTCTATAAATATCAAAATGCACATTTTTTTTTATTTGTATATTTTATCTCCAAAGTATTTGCATGAGTAAATGAACACATAACGCATAAAATAAAGTTACGTGAGAACATCAAATACAAAATCTATCGAGAAATCAAATATTTTCTATCTTCCGCAATGAAATGTTGTGCATTGTATATAGTCAAAACATACAAAATGGAAATGCAAAATGAACGAAATGACAACGAATGAATATGGGCACAACAACTTTTGTTGGATCTTTGGTTGAAAAACTTCTAGGATGAACGTACAAAGCCGAAAAGTGTTGGAACGAGGAATCTCCAACAAAATGTGAGATGTGCTAGAAACTAAAAAAAAAGAAAAGAAGGAAATAACTTACCTTAACCAAGTGTTGTTTTTGACTGGATTGAAATTCGAAAACTTTACACCAGTACAATGTCTCCGTAGCCGGTAATTTGACGTCTTCATTAAGCAATTCGAATACATGTAATTTGCTGGTGGCCGATTGTGATGGCAATACCGTTAATTGTGCGGATGTGGCAGACGATGACGAGGATGATGATGCTGCTGATGATGATGACGATGCTAATAACGAGCCTAGAGCAACGGTTGACATTGTTTCGTCTTGTGGTTGACGCTGTGTTATTGATAACGGTTTGTATCCTTTGAATGCCTTTCGAGTATTCGGCAAACTACCTGGTACCACTGATCCGTGCAGTGGATCCGATTCATGATACATGTACACGACACGCATCGTATCATTCTAAATGTTTTGAAAAAGTTGGATGAAAGCAGGGCCAAAACAAAAGAGAAAGAGAAGAAAAAAAGAGAAACATCAAGTCGGTTAGTATTGGGTTTTCTACGAAATAAAAGTAGCAGCTGCTTGAAAAGCGCTACAGAATAAAAGTTTTAGCATAATTTAAACAATTAAGGTAAATTCCATTTTGTGAAGTTTTCAGCAAATTATCCACTGTATATTTACGTTGCACGCACACAGATTCTCTTTCACATACATACATTCAAACTCCCTATCTTACTCTCAGATCGTGCTCGAGCAAATAAATACAAACACACATATGCTACTGCAATTTGCACATCAATTTGCAAATGACACAGAATATGGAAACGAATTATCATTTCAAAAACATCGCACGACAACGATCAGTGCGATGCATATTTTTACATAACTGAATGAATGGAACCGCTTCGATGCATATAGTTTCGTTCGATTGGAAACGAGAAAATGACTAAATTGTAATGAACAATTGTATCAAGCAATTTTCTCGGTTTTGGATCGAGTTGTTGACAGGATGTACATTCTACATATTGGGCATGGAAATTAATTTTAAAGGATTTTTTTTCGTTGAAAAATCCGAATAAATTCAAGGCGCAGGAATTATTTTTGCTTATTATACATTATCAGTAACAACATTCATTATGCTCCCCGTTAAAATGAGTTTTTTTATATTTACTTGGACATTTTCCAAAGTGTAAAAAATGAAATGGTTTTAACTTGTGCTCTGGATAATATAAAAACAAATATTGTGGATTTTTATATGCGCTTGCAAAGCAAAATTGAAAAAAAAAAAAACTCGGATTGTGTGCATAATAAATGCAGTGCAAATCCTTTGAAATTAATTTGCGCACCCAATATAAACATGAGATGATATAGTGCTATGCATATATACTTCAAGCTAATTGAAAATCGTATTTGAAATAAGTGGTGATAAACAAATGATGGATAGAAGGACGTGTTTATTGTGAGACAAATGCAAATCAATCTCAAAATCGGTGAAACAAAACACACTCACACATGATCGCTTTAAAACACAGAGCATACCGATGTAGATACTATACCGTGTGTATTTGAGGCTAATATTCTGACGAATCGTAAACAGATAAACTCTGAACTATATGATAATGCTGAAAACAAGTGCACTCAAAGTGAAGAGATTAGCTCAGAGTTGTGTGTGAATCGTACATAGAAATCGAATTGATTTGGAATGCCTAATTTTCATTCAATTCGTCTTCATTCACAGGAAAGCGGAAAATTTGTCATCCACAAGTGATTTACTGTACACATTATATATGTATATGCTATATGTTTGTAAATATGTGCGATTACAACGTTGGCTATAACGCGTATAAAACAAAAGAATGAAGTGACAGAAAGGTTGTTGAGTTCTGATTCTGAGATGCGTCAAAATGCATATTCTAATTTATAATCTACGAGTCATAATCAGATCCATGAACAGCAATCATTCGAATGCTCACATCGTTGTGACATTGATGAAGAAAATCCAATGCTGCCAAAGTTCATTACAAGATTAGTGACGGAATTCTCACGAGACTGAAATTTAATTGAATTTTTCCCAAGTCGATTTTGGAGCTTGTGGTTGGATGTTGTTTGAAGTACCACACACTATTTCTTGCATCTCCGCCATGTTCAATGCGTGGTCAATCAAGTTAACGAAGGAAGCATAAACGAATATTGAGCGAAACACGTTCGGACAGATGGCGGTGGCAGTACGAGATAACGACCACGATGATGGCGATGTTGATAACGATAACGAAAGAAATAAGGGAAGCAAGCGTAAGCATTACGAATAAGTAACTTGGATTTTATGCGAGTAGTTAGTTCATTTGTTATTTAAATCATCTTATGCCAAATTCGAGCGAGAGAATATGAAAAGCGATTCACCGAAATGAGATACTAAGCATCAGCCATTCCAGTCAGCGGCCGGGTTAAATACATGACAAAGTAAATAAATGTATACATTGAAATACATACGAATACATAAAATATGTAAAAACAACATTAAAAGTGTGTATGTGTGTGGATGCGTGTTGTTGATGCACAACAACCCCAAAAACAGAATTACGTTTTGGAAATGGTTTTCATCAGCGCTCAACATAGCGAATTTCACCAGCATATTTCCAATGTTTACATAGTAAAAAGCACACGTAAACATTTAACCGCTGGCAAAATGTAAATCGATATAAGCTTTTCCAAAAACTTAATTGTATTTTGTGCAATGTGCATTCCGTTGCATGAAATTTGCATGAAAATCTATGCGAACGTTCGTTTGCGATTTCTGTTGTAGATATGAATGTCCGAGAATGATTGTGAGACCTCTATTTACAGCATGCAACGGTGTAATATTGAATAAATAATTTTTTTGATTGAAACTCACAAGAGAAATTTATTAAATAATAAAACCTGAACCATATTGAATGAAGCTTTTTAAAACAATGAGAACGAGTTTAATATAAATATAAATAATTCTCCCAAAGATTCAAACGTCATATTATTACTATGGAAGCATTCGTGTTACACTTTCATTCTCGGACATTTACACATATATAAAACACGCAGTCATTCACTATAATTCATTTTGCGAGTGCTCAATGTCCTGAATCCCCGATTGATTGTTGTTGAGCTAGTGTGTGTACGTGCACATTATTGCCATACTGTACTTGTATGCATATTTGACTGTATTCCATATACATTACAGCAAACAATTACCAATAAAATTTGTTGCTTTATTTTTCATCGCGAATGAAAGGCTTGTTGGTTCGAGTTTGTTCGTTGATTTCAACTATTTTCAGCTGCAGATCATATCTGAATGTTTTGCAATTTAATTAGGAAATCCACGCAGTGGATTTGTCAAACTTTTGCACTCTGCATAAAGTCAACTAATAGAATACACAATAGATTTGAAACATAACACACAACTCTCTCTCTCTCTCTCTCTCGAATTTTCAATTATATCCTGATCAAGTAGCACTTGAATTTGCTTGATGATGGTATTTTCGAGAAATCATTCGAACAAATCATATGTTAAAAATATGAAACAGTTTCCGTATCATTCGTAGCACACAATTTGTCGCCGTAATTTTCCACTCTATTCTCGCTCTCCCATTAAATGTTGTTCTCTGATACAGTGGGATATGGAAAGAGATAAAATCTTTTTCTGATACTGTCGTAATTCTCAAATGGATTGACATGTGCGTAATTATCTATTTTTAGCGGTATAATTTTATGATTAAATACAAACGAAGAAGTTTTATAAATTCACTATGACTGATGACAAGTGGAACGCATAAAAGAGTTTTTTTTATATGAATATTCCGCATTTCTGTCGTATCCCAATTTCTTAACTTTAAAAATCCACTCTCATACAAAAAGTTGTACTCAAAAATTTAACAAATACACTCACACCCATACGTACATGCGTAATTCAAAGCTTGATCCAAAAGATGACATGCAAAATGTAAAAGTAAATGATTATGCGTCACTCAAATCGCTCAGGCTCTAATTATCTTACATTAATACATTATACTAGAAACTTTGAAACAAGTAGAGGGGGAGTATTTCTGTAACTGTACATGAAGATATTGAGAGAGTGGGGGAGAGATAGTATATTACTGTTGGTTGGACTGAAAGGCGATGCTTGAAGATAATTGAAAAATAATCGACGGTTGAGCTTTATGCTCTTCTTCTATTAAAGTTTCAGTGCCTATGTGACTAATATTTATTCTTCGAGTGGCTATCGATTTTGTCGTTGAATTGACTGATGCCGCTTATTAATCAATTTATTATTCCATCGCTTACCTATGACTTACATTCAAAATAAAAGCACTCAATAAGTCACAAACATTTTTTCCAGCCCATTTAATTTCGAAATGACTGCAAAAAAAAAGAAGTATCAAGCACTGTGAGCTTGAATAAATGAATTCTCTGCCATGTGATTACATCATTTTAAAGTTTTAATCGAAAAATAAACAGAAGAACTCTAACATTTATTGCAACAGGAATTTAGCATGTATTATTATAGTAGTGGCATGTCGACATCCATTTTTCATACAAAGTTCGAAATGCTTAAAAAATACATATTTTAATGGATTCCCAGTTGGAAACCTACATTATAATTTCAATGCACTTCAAAGTTTTTTTTTCTCTACCCATTTTGTCTGTAAGTGTGCGCGCCTGAGAACTTTGCGGCTGTGTCAAAGCAACAAAAAAAAAGTGTATACATATATATAGGCAAATATGCAATCATCTTTTCCTGTAAAAATTACCTCTGTCAACAACGATGAAGTGAGTTGAGAGGTACATTAAGTGGCAATAGACAAAATGGCAAATATTAAAGCCTGAAAATGAGTGTAAAATTTAATTTTACCCAAATTCTGGCTTGTACTTATTCTTTGAGTGTTTCTCGCTTAACAAACTAAAAATTATTCAAAAAAGTTATTCGTTCTAAGTAATGTACCGACCATACCGATTATGACGATCATCATGGTGATGGCAACAGCGATGGAAGCAGAAAAAAGGCGACGAAATGTGCAAAATCAAGTCAATTACTAGAAAGCTCGATGTACACCGTATAGTCTACGGTCGAAATTACTTCACAACAAGGACGATGAGAACAACAAATACATCGGAGCATGTACGTAATGCTATGTTAATAAAAATGCAACACCACACATAAAACTGGAGAAATTTGAAAATATTAAATCCTCCATTCTATATGCACCTGAATACCACTCGACACGTAGCGCACAATACTTTCTCTCTCATTTTTTGTTGTTGCTCCCGTATACTTAAACTCGCATGAAGTAAACTAGCGAAAGCTTTATGGGTACAAACAACTTGATGTGTTTACACTATCTGCAACGAATGCGATACTGAAGTGTACTTCGCGATGTAACCAATGCAAACTTATACATACACGATATCATGATGTTTGGTTCATGCCAGAA